ATTGTGTCTTGTGTTGTTTTTCTAATGAGCGTTACAGGGCCATTAATGAGCGTTACAGGGCAATAAAATATTGTAAAAAAATAACAAACAAACACGTATTACGAAGCATTAATAAGTAAGCAAACATTAAAAACAAAGCATTCCGACGAAACCCTAATTATCTGACATAGAAACTGAACAAAGGGGAGTAAATCGTTTCGGAAAACATGAAATATTAAAAAAGCTTGTTGCATGAAATTAATATACCACAATGTTTAGTGGATTTTTATTTTTGCACGATTCAAGCGAAACATAATTATCTCCCTTTATCCAAAAAAAAAAATGGGGGCTATATCTGTAAAGCAATAAAAAAAAAAATAAAATTGTAGACTTGGTTGCAATTGGTCTACATCTACAAGGTAATGACATGTGCAAAAGTCCCGCCCCCTAGCACCGGCTTTAACAATATCCAATCTTCAATGTTAAAATATTAGATTCAAGGATCGCAAAGGACCAACATGACATAAAATTAGCTGCTATAATTCACTGGTTCTTTATGTATTTGGTTTTGAACATATAGGAATATATCGATACATCTGCCGACTTAAGATGACAAATGAGCCGCGCCATGACAAAACCAACGTAATGGGTGTGCGACCAGCATGGATCCAGACCAGCCTGCGCATCCGCGCAGTCTGATCAGGATCAATGCTGTTCGCTTACAAACCCTATAACAAGTAGATTCGCAGGCTGGTCTGGATCCATGCTGGTCGCAAACGCACTATGTTGGTTTTGTCGTGACGCGGCTCAAATGCTTCTTAAAGTGGATTGGTCTACAATGGGCACATTTTCAAGAAATACATGTATATTTCAAATAGTGATAAAAACAATAGAAAACTATCATTTGGATATTCTTACAAACTATTTCTGAAACAAAACTTGTTAAAGTGGCATTATAGCTCATTCAAGTGTAAATGGTCAGTGAACAGATGAAAGTCAAAATAACTTGCTAATTTGCCATTATTGTAAAGTTTTATATTTTACTTTGATTAAGTAATCAATATAACGCATGACCAATATATTTTTTTTATAAATTTCATTGAAAAATTTATCGGTTACGAACAATTATTAAAAAGTGGCATTTTTACAATTTGATTATGTTGATATTATATCATAAAGATTTTCCAGTATCGATTATTAGTCAGTCACCCATCATAATAGCTAATCTTTTGAAATATTTTACTAATTCAACTCAACTTGACAGCATAATATCACTTTAATCTAGTTTTACATGACGTTTAAATGATGAATGACTAATATATCGTTCAAGAACATTCAATATCAATATCCATCAACATATAATTCTTTCATGATTTGGTATCATACTTAATACTATCATCATAACTATTTATGGTATTGTATACTTTCCATAATTAAGCAATACATTTTAAATGTCCTTTTTGTTTGCAATTAAAATGTAAAATTCATTGATTTAAGTATAGTATCAAACTACGCTACATGTTAGGTACATGTAATACTTATGTTTAAAATATATTGCTTTGCATTCTTTACAATAGACTGGTGCCTATCTAGTTGCCCCTCGCCGCTGTGAGTTAGAATCCCGCCAGGGACTTTAGATTATTTTATGTGAGGAAGCTATCCAGCTGAAGCTTACGGAATGACGGTGGTTCTACTCAAATTCCCGCTCGTGCGCGAAGTGGCACAAAAGGTGTTCAGGAAAATCGCTATATGACCTTACTGTGTTTGTGTAACGTTTGAATGTCTAAACACTTTATTAGGAATTTGCAAGTTCGAATTAGAATATACAATACAACAATATAACAATATACATATGTATTGAATTAGAATATGATAGGTTTTAAGAACTTACTAGGAGAAATAAAATTCTTATATTTTCTTTGTATTAGAAACGTAATTATAAGGTACAAAGTTCAAATTAGGTTTTTATTTTATATTTAGTCCTTTGAAGCTCCTTCTAATAAAGATTTTATTTCTCAACTTCTAATAATGTTTTTATTTCTCCTAATTAGGCTTTTGAAACTTCTAATTAAGAATTAAAAAGTTGTAATTATATTTATTTCTCCTAATTATGAGTTTAAATTCCTATTTAGCTGTCACTGGTAGTAAAAAGATTGTAGTAAGATGTTTTATTTCTCCTATTTAGGACAATGAAAGTCCAAATTATGGTTTTATAGCTCTTAACTATAAGTGAAAAAATCGTTATTGGACTATCATTAACAAAGTAGTATTTTGGATTTTAAAATTCATTATTATTTTAATAGTTTTGTAAAAAAGTAAGATTTTGCCCCAGACTGTTACCAAAAATACTTTGAAAACATTGTCAGATTATTAAAGATTTTCGACCATGCGACCACATACATGCATCGAGGACATGTTGGGAGGAAAGTGACCGTGCGACCACATACACGCATCACAGGATTCCCCCTTCTCTTACGAGAAAGGTACAAAGATGTGTCCGCCCTTTTATTAAAAGGGCAGACTTCAAAAATATGCCTTTGCCTTATTGTTATTAATAAGGAGGATATTTTTCACAAATATGTCTGGAATTGGTTTATATACAACAGTAGTTACACAAACCTAGTGGGTTTCAGTAAACGTCCTTTCAAGTCCGCTATGAAATTTTAAAAAGATCAGGCTTAATTTCCTGGAAAATTTTGAGTTTCAAGTTTTTTCTACTTTTCATTCTCTGTAAATATCAGAATTATCTTAGTTTTGGAAAACAAGAACGTTTCAAAAACGTTTTATATGCACTTTATATTTGAGATGTTTTTCACACTTTGTTTGCAAATATTACTTGGGGGCATTTTAGTACGCATTTAATTTCTATATTCGATTATAGGAAATGTGATGGGCTTTAAGGAAAAACTAGATTAAATTTGAGCAGCCGACAATTCTTACACTGGTAACACTGTTCATATTTGCACGTCTTATCTCACCTGCTGAATTTGTAAAATGCACCTTTTCAAGCTTCAATTTCTTTACAACTGCCTATCAACTTTGGACTGTTCAGATAGATATGTCTTAAGTAAGACAGTCATAAGTACAGTACCGGATCAGTCTGCAAGGATGTGCAGCCTGGCATACATGTATCTCTATACTGGTAGAATCATGTTGATTCCAGCAGTGCAGTGTTGTTAACAGTGGTCATATCTACACAGTTGCTTTCGATCTAAGCTCATTCAAAGGTTCAACAAATCATACAGTTTTCAATCTACCTTTATAACTGTACCATATGCCTTTAAACTTTCATTTGTTATATGTTTTCAATATGGAAAAGTTATCAATGCTATAGGTGCATCGAAGAAACACTTTTTAATGACACACAGTAAACGTAATTTCATATCAGACTGAATGTCAAATCAAATTACCTGAAAACATAAGTCTATGATGATCTCAACAATAAGTGACATAACAGATATCTTACATACATAGCAAAATTGGTTAGTGACATAACAGATTACTTACATACATAGGAAAATTTGGTCGTAGTGAATCTTGCTTTGTCCTGTAACTGCGTGTCAATAAAAAGCTTTTTAAATGCACATTTCACATTAACATTTTTTCTGTCATCAGAACAATTTTACAAATGATAGTTTAAAGCCTCAATTGTGGATAAAGATACAATAAACAATTAATAAAACGGTGATCTTGATTTTCTGGGCATTTTCTATCATTATATGCAGCCTTGAAAACAAATTTCTGCTACAACGACAGCATTTTCACTTTGGACACCTAAAACAGAAAAGACACACTAGGTTGATAGTTTGCATGTGTTGCTCTAGAAAGATAAATTCATAGTGAAGTCTTACTTTTTGAAGAAAAAAAAAAGATATTGTTCATGTTAAAGATGTCATTACTTTACAGAGATCCGCTTTGTGCAGGTTTTATTGTAAAGCCATTATCTTTATCCAAGCTCTGTCAAAGAAATCGTTTGATGTCAAGTGCACAGATAAAATCCCCTATATGATTTAATGGTAATAGATTGGGGCTTAGATTTACGAACTTTAACTCGTGTCTTTGAGATGGCGATATCTTCAATGACGGGGGCAATCGTCTGAATAATTTTAACATGTAAATTTTGTTTACGTCTGAGTCAAACATTTATAACATAAATTTATATATAGATTAATTACTAATGTATAGAGAAAATTATTAACAGAAAATAAATATTAATACCTACGCCTGTCAATGATTGACACCAGTTTTAGAATGCACTGAATAATTCGGTAATTTATGATGTTATGTTAAGTCTGTTGGGTAATTTTATAAAAAGTGTAAAAATGTCACGTTTAAGGAAGTTAGATATAAAACCTCGACGCTAAGTCTCAGATATTTTTTGCAATATCTTATTTACTTTTTGTGTAAATTTACAAGTCTGACCTATTTAAACACGTTAAAATGTTTAACACTTCACTACAAAATCCTTAATGAAATTGAATCTAGTACTACTTAAAAGTCCTTCATGGGGTGTCCAGAACTTGGTCTTTTAACGCAACGATAGTAGAGTTTACAATAATTTTATTACTCCATTTTCAAGTAAAAATATCTGAAAAATCAGCCTCAATCATTAATTCTTACACTTTATACAGTTTAACCCAAAAATTGAGTTCATCGTAAACATATTAAAAAGATTACTATATTTGAAAAGATCATCACAGTATGTCCCTACTACTTTATTGCGATTTGTCTATCGGCATATTATTTGTTCCGGGGGATGGGGGTGTTTAAAAAGGTCAAATTGACCAAGCGTCGGCGTAATCCATGTTGGTGATATCTCTCTTACCATTTTATCTCAGTACTGAAAATTCTAAAAATCTTTGCTGTTCTGAAAGTGAATTAATGATATTTACGATCGTTGGGCGACAACTCTACCTAAAAAAATCATAACTATTGTGCTGTCATTATCTCCCCTGAAAACCACCGTGACTATCTTTATCTATAGTTATTGATTTATTTGGTCGTTAATTATCGTTTTACAATCTTATTGTCGTTGTAACTTAAACCACAGTGTGACTGCTTTTAACAGTATTGACTTGTAAATTGAATAGAATTTCTTTTGGACTTGACAAGTTAAATAGTAAAGTTACGCGGAATGAATTATAAATATAAATAGGGATGGATTTGCTATGGTGAAATGCTTTTCGTTGTAAATCAATGTGTTTCGTTGAAATTGGACTATTATTAAAATTCTCTTTGTATACGACGTTCAGTTTGGTTTTGAAACTTGTTTTATATATTGTGTAGAGTTAACAAGAACTTGTGGAGTTAAACTACAACTGGCATTGAATTCAATACAATATTGTATAAACTATCATAATCTATGTCAGATGTGCATGTATGTTTTGAAAGGGTGTTTAAATTTTGTCCTAACCTTTCATAAGACCTTATAATCGGGTTTACGCGGGACTTGATATAACGGTGTATCGCACCTATTTCGGTTATATTTTGTTACAGAAAAGTTGTTTTACTAAAGTTTTATCACAAATCCGCGGAAAAAACTCGTAATACTTTTTAATTTTACATGTTTTTATCAACACATTCTAAAAATGCGAGACATATGTACCTTCAATATCGAGATTTAAACTGTCTCAGACCAAAGGAATTCCTACATACAGCGTGGAGACGTGGTTATGAATATTTAATGTCAAACAAATCCATACAATGATAAAGACGATGTCCTGACAAGTGGAACTAGAGAACAAAATCTGTGGATTTAAAATGTGAAATTAAAACTTTGGAATGATTGATTTTGTTTAAAAGGGGATAATTGTTTTATTGAATGAAGGATTTACAATATATTTTGTGTTGACATAAAAAATGATATATTCATATATAAACTATACATAGTGACTCAACCCAGATACCAGGGTGTGTCAGGTTATTAGTGTTTTGTGATACCGAAATTCGCGTGCCAAGAGCGGCAACTGTGAAAAAGGGGAGGTAACCAAGAAACGGAGTTAACTGAGATCAGGGGGAATAACTGGGACGCAAGGGTGGTAACTGTGATAGGTCAGATAAGATATTAATAAGTATGTAGACGATGGGGTGTTCAAATTCTAAAACAGTGCACCCAAGCATACACAGTAAGTATCATGTATTATGATAATATAATTAAGAAATATGTATATATTTTGTTTTTTTTTATCATATAGTAAGATAATATAATTATGTAATATGGATAACAGAGTTGTCCCCCTTTAAAGCTGCAATAGTCTCTGATAATCTTAATATAATATAGGAACTACTTAACAATGAGACTATAAGTAAGTGATATCAAACTGTTACAATTTAGTTTCTGCTGTACAAAGTACCAATTTTAATTAATTAATTTATTTATTTATTTATTTATTTATTTATTTATTTATTTATTTATTTATTTATTTATTTGCTTCTATAGTGACAATTTATTTCACATTTAGTGCTACTTTCTTCAGGTAACACGTATTACAAATTCTCTTAAACCAATATGAAATGGTGATTAACACGTTGGTATATCGTGTGCATATATACAATGGAAAATATTATTTAACAAATAAAACACAAAGTCAACTATAATTATCGGACAGACGTAGAGACGTACAGTTGGATACCATAATGTTTCGGGTTTTTTTTTTTGTTTTGTTTTTTTTTGTTTTTTTGTTAAATTTGTTTTATATTCTTTTTGTTGTCATCGTTTTTTTTTTTTTGTTGTTGTTTTTTTATTATGTAATGAAAATGAAAGCATGTCTGATGCATAATGGGCCTTTAACATGCAAAAGACCAGACAACCGGCATTATCTTATCAAAATACAATATGAAAACTATAGTTACTCTCTCAAAACTGACCCGACATAATCCTGAGATAATAGGCATAAAACGGATTCCGGATTTATCATATCTGCATGGATTAAGTTAGCTGTTTGTCCAAATAAATTTTTCTAGATAGTGCTAACGTTTCAACAGCAATCAATAGTTCATTTTGACGCGAAGAATGCTGCTACTTTAAAACAGCATATGATTTCCTAGTTTTATACCAATTTTGTAATAAACAATGACCACTCTTGAAATGGCAGCCGAGAAATTCGATTTGTTAGTTACATAGTTTAATAGTTTGCTGTACATGTACGTGTCCACGCATATAAACAATACATTACAATAACTATGCAGTGAAAAAATGAAACATGTACAAAATTTATTGTGCCACCATGTACCATCCACAAACGACCCGTTCCGTAATAAGCCAATTAGGAATGCCAAACAAATTGATAGCATATTGATGTCTATGGAATGCTTTATACATTCATGTTTACATATTAATATCTAGATTTTAACAATATTTATATAGTCATTGATCATGAATACACATTATTTGAAAAAAGGCTATAACAAATACTTGTTTGTTTAAAAAAAACTGCAAATGAAAAAATAAAGATATTAAAGAAAAGAAAAAAACCGGAATGTTGAGTCGATCAACATCATTTTTTTCGACAAAGAGCTAGTTCTTCTATATTTATATTACTCTAATATTAATGGCTTTAACTGACATAATATCATAAAGTAACTTGTAAGTAGTTTCTGGGCGACATGTATGTAAATTTTCAAGTGTTCAGATTATTTTGGATTAATATATGACAATAAATGGTTGAACTGACCGATAAAAAATGTTTGTTCAATAGCACTTTTATACGATCCTTACTTATGAATAAGATAATATCATAATTAAAAATGACCTAATTCCTGTGTAAATATGGAAACCTAATAAATTCATATCGACAGCTCGAAACACTTTTATAAATAAGCTGATTTACGGTCCCATACCATGACTGCTATAACATACATTAAAAGAAGAGAAAAGAAATCGTGGAGAATATGATTGAGATACCGAAACATCGAGATAACGAAACATCGAGACAACCGATATCGAGATAACGATAGCTGGCTGCAGTAAAACTGTAAATAATTGCTGCATTGTAAATAGATATAATTTACTTTTTTTGTTTGTTCGACAAGAGTTGAAAATCTGGTTGTCAGATTTGTCATATTTCAATTATTAAATTTTTTTTGTTGAGATATTCTGTTCAAATGATTTAGATTTCATAACTATTGATATACCTTGCTATACAATCCAAGAAAATTCCCTAAATTGTATAATTTAAATGGAATACAAATGAGCGTATATTATGCGCAATATTATAGTCCATTGATTACGGATGTTTCTATTTTAGAATTTCTATCCACATAAAGTGTATAGTGCATATTCACACACGTTTTACCAGACCTTGAACATTTTTTATGAATGAAGTAAACTTTTAATTACAACTAATCGCATCTTCTCGGGCCTTTCCGTCAAACTTCGGATAAGATTATTAATAATAGCCGAGATGTTCCGATTGAATTATAATATATACATAATATATGCATAGAAGTCCTTATTAGTTGACAAAATGTTAATTTGAACCTGACGCTCCAATTTGCTAACATTTAACTCTATCTGAACTTTCCTTTTATTAGAATGAAAACACATACACATATTTAATTATTAATCATAATTGTTGACAATATTTGTTAACAAGACAAGCTCCGCGAACTATGAAATCTAACATTGAGTCTATGCATGTGTGCGTACATAAAGTGTTATTTCTTTTTGCAGATGAGAGAAACAAGGGTCAAGGTCATGCCAATGGTCAAGTTAAAGAGAATATAACGGCCACAGAGACAAATTCTAGAAACATCAAAGGTGACTACAGTCAGTACCAGCTCGCCAAACACAATAGAGAAAAACAACATAAACAGAGACAAATCAAGTTGTTCATGGCCGCAGATGTAAGCACTTACAATATACATTGTTTTTCAATAAAATGTCCTCATTTGTCCATGGCCGCAAACGTAAGCACTTACAATATAATTAGATAAAATGTCCCCATTGTTCATGGATGCACTTGCAAATAATTCAGTGAAATATGCTCATTTGTTCATGGCTAGAGACGTAAGCACTTACAATATAATTCAATGAAATGTGCTCATTTGTTCATGGCTAGAGATGTAAGCACTTACAATATAATGCGATGAAATGTGCTCATTTGTTCATGGCTAGAGACATAAACACTTAAAATATAATTTAATGAAATGTCCTCATTTGTCCATGGCAACAAACGTATGCATTTACATTATAATTCAATAAAATGTCCCCATTGTGCATGGCTAGGGACGTAATCACTGATAATATGCATTCTATTTCAATAAAATGCCCTCATTTGTTCATGGCCACAGACGTAAGCACTTACAATATAGTTAAAAAATGTCCTTATTTGTTAGAAGGTCTTCTAAGCCAAACGATAAATTTGGCTTTTAGTAGTGTCCTTCTTCAACTTGTGTACCTTCTTTTGCTTTCCTCTTGTTGTTTTTTATCCTCCTGATTCTTTTTGTTCCTGCTTCTCATTTTTATTTTCTTTTTTCTTTATTTTCTTCTTCCCTATTTGATCCTCACCACTCTTTATGTCTTGTTTTTTCGTCATCTTTCTCCCTTTCTTCTTCGTTTTCTTCACCACGATCTACTTATTCTTCTAAGGGTGTACCCTGTTTCAAATATTTCATTAGGGCTTGGTTATATTCTATAATATATGTTAGTCTTAAATCGCATAATTATTCACCGGCATTGTGTACTATGTCTTGAATATAACAAAAGTTAATCATTGACATAATTTAACATCAAAGAGATCCGCCGCCCACTCAACTCCATAAAATTACTCTAAACTTTGACAAAGGTGTGACCAGATGAAGTTTAGGGTCATCCAATTATGTAATAAACATTCTGTTTTAAGAATATAACTTAATATAAATCACTTTCAGAAAGCTGCAGTAAAACATTACGCATGTACAAAGTGTGGGCGGGTTTTTACACTGACACTGATCTTTAAGGACTAATTTTCTGTATCTTTATTACTGTTTTTAGAGGCTATTATACTTACGCTTATCATCTTTGTAAATAAACACTGATCTTAAATGTTATATATGATACCATACATGTAATTTATTGGCTTATGTGTGTTGTCATCACTACATGTGTTCTTACAGGAGATGGCCGTCAAGGTAATGGAATCTCGTGAAATGCTATCACTAGGAACACGGTCACGTGGTACGTCACGTAATACGTCACGAGCAACGTCACCGACCAATAATAAACGTACGTATAATACCCGATAAGTGTTTTTTAATCGTCTCTTCTGTAGGTCTTTGATTATTGAAAAAAAGAGTTCTTGGGATAAATACGAATAATCTTCTAAAAATACTCGAGGATACGTTCGAGTTAGTTTCAATGGCGACAGAAAATGAATGCTCAGCCTTGCTACAGCGACCTTGAATTAGCATTATGCTTTAAAACATGACAATGCTTTTCATGAACTATACACCTTTGAAGATTTTACGCTTGTTGAAACACAGTAAAATTAATGACTCTTGACACTCTATTTCACAGTAAATCATAAAAAGTAGACATGTTAATTTCTACTTTAATGAATTTTTTTTTTTGTTTAAAGGCACATTCATATTCAGTGTCATCTTTTCGTAAAAAAGGGTCAAGTATGTAATTACTTTATTATGTTACTGTTGATTATTTGTAGAATCACCGGGAAAATACACGTGTATAATACTTATCAGTGTTTAAAAACGTTTTCAGCGGCGTCCGTGGCAGAGAGGTTAAGGTCGTTGACTTCAAACCACTTGCCCCTTACCACTGTGGGTTCGAATCCCTACTTTGGATTCTTTCATGTGAGAAAGCTATCTGGCTAGCTTTCGGAACGTCGGTTGTTCTACTCGGATGTCTGTTTGTACCTAAAATATAGCATGGAAAGGTACTTGAAGTCTTCTTTCACAGTAAAGCTTGCCATAGAACTTATACTGTGTTGGTGCGACATAAAATCCAGCCGAGAAAAAAAATATCCGAATGTCCATATTTTAATTGCATTGTGGACTGACTACGTAAACGTTATCTATGTTTTACCGTCAAACTTCGGAAATTGTCGGTGTTGGAAAAGTCCGAGATATTAATTTGCATATTTTAGAAAGTAATTTCAAAACAAGTAAAAAGCATTGAGAACAAGGCACGCGACCAATCTCTATCATTTTAGATCTGAAAGAATCTGTAGATGTTTCGTTATTATTTTAGTTATGAAGCTAAGTATATTGATTTTAGAAATAAATGGGCCTTTAATGGAAACTAAAGCACTGGATCAGTGGATTTATCTTTTCATTTAACTTTACTTTGCACATTTCAATAGAAAATAAACAAAGAGGCTTTAATGGTGTGCAACAAAGATATAAAAAAAACATATCCAGACAAAAATGACAGAATGATTAAAACATTACTTATGACCTAGGCTGAAAGTGCCAAATTTGTCTATGTTTAATTTTTGTTGTAAACGGGGACCAGAGAATTACGGTATGCCGTTAGGGCCATCGCCTATGAATGTGTTGATCTGAAACGCGATAGTCGATAATACGATGGTGAAAACACGAAATCACGAAACTACGATGGTGAAAACGCGAAAGTACGATGATGAAAACGCGATAGTACGATGATGAAAACGCGATAGTACGATGATGAAAACACGACAGTACGATGATGAAAACGCGATAGTACGATGATGAAAACACGACAGTACGATGATGAAAACGCGATAGTACGATGGTGAAAACGCGATAGTACGATGATGAAAACACGACAGTACGATGATGATAACGCGAAATCACGAAACTACGATGGTGAAAACGCGACAGTACGATGGTGAAAACACGATAGTTTATCGCGTTTTCATCATCGTAGTATCGTACTGTCGCGTTTTCATCATCGTACTTTCGCGTTTTCACCATCGTAGTTTCGTGATTTCGCGTTTTCACCATCGTATTATCGACTATCGCGTTTCAGATCAACACATTAATAGGCAATGGCCCTAACGGCATTCCGTAAAGAATATCTTCGCGTCGAGCCGTCGTACGTCCAGAGTGGTACACAAATATCCAAAAGATAATAAATTAGTCACCACTAACGATCTGTGAGTGTAATCAGTACTGATAATATACCGATTTAATATTGTTTACTTTCTCATAAATAATTCATAGGATCAATTATAGGTATTCGGGCCGACAATGTTTTACGTTCCATGTTTCTAATGTCGTACGTGCATTGATGAGAGGAATTTTGTAAGATTTTTAGCGGATTGTTTAAAGGAACTCCACTGAGGTCAAAAGGCCTAAAACATTAAATTTGATTTTTTTAATAGATCAGGTAAAGCACTCAAACTTTTAAAAAAATGCAGAAAGTACAGAAATTCACTAAGAATTAAATTGAAAATCGCCAGTTAACGCAATTCTTAGCCTGATTTGAGTGAAAAGCGTTGCAACACTTTTTTTTATTTTTTTGGCTCTTTTTGCACAATAAAATGATTATTTTGGGTAAAAGAGGGAAAAGGTGAGGAAATAATCTGAAAATGGACACAAATTATTGGCTCTTACCCAACATGAAATTGTAAACAAATTTCGGAAAATTATTTTCAGTTTCGTCATGTCCACCCCCCCCCCCCCCCACCCCAGTGGAATCCCTTTCAGCATAAAGCTGAAACTCTTCACATAAGACTGTGTACTTCCTGTTACTTCCGGTACATTGTTAATGGTGTTACTTTATTTAGAATTTTGCCTATACTTAATCCGAATATGAGAGATAATTTGTTAAATTAAAGCACAGAAATCCATATTTATTCAATTCTCTAGAAATGTCAAATGTGTTAAATAATGTTTAAATTATGGATTTAGAGCATGTAAGATGTTAAGTTTTACAACTGAAAAAAGTAGTGCTGTATGTACAGTAATATGTCGTAAAAGTAGCAAACTGTAATTAAAATAGTATTTTGACTTTAATGACTTGTAAAATACTAATTCACTTTAATGATACCAATAGCCAACAAAGCAAAGATAGTTCATCTATATGACAAATTTGTATTATTTTCCTTTCTTTTTTTAAATAAAAATGATAACATTTTTAGTCATAATGGGCCTTTAAGCAAAAAGGGGCTTTTAAACGAAAACCTCGAACCTATGTGATACATACTACATACATAATGTACGAGTACATGTATAAAGATCAGCTGGCAGCTTTGTCTGTTTATAATTATATATATATGATTTAAAATGTTTACAAATCTATAAAAATTCCACTACATCTTATGTGCGGGCACCTTTTAACAATCATTTAGTTAAATGCCTCATAAACTTGGTAAATAAAATATAAGTGAAGAATATACATCGGGGAAACTAAATGAAATTAAACCATAAACTTTGACAGAATTCAGAAGAATCAATATAACACTCTTGCATTATTGATTTGAACTTCTACTTTCTGTTTGAAGTGGTGTTAAATTTGAAGATGGCTTTGTGATCTAGTGAGGACACTTGACACCGAACTATTTTACCTCTGACGAAAATTAAATTAAAATAAAAATTATATTTTTTTTTGCATACGTGTTCCTTTATCATTGTTGCATTAAAGCATATTCAGTACGTTTTTGTTTGTTCGTTGTTTGTTGTTGCTTTTTTAAATACGATACATATTTATATTACAAGATTCGAGCAATGTTTTGTGTCCTAATTGTATTTTCATTATAATATTTATGTGACGCTTACATTGGTACATTCGTACCTAAAATATTCAACAACAAAAAATTAAAAAAAGAAAACTAAAAAATGTATATATTATACATATTTATAATTTAATTCGTTTTCCGCGCCGTTGGTCTTAGAGTTTCCAAATATTTACATGTATATCAAGTGTGGAACATATTATAAATATCTTCTTAATAGTACAATTGTGTTATTTTTATTTCGTTATTGAAAGTTGTTGAAATGAATAACAAAAGAGTTGTCAAGGTTTAAAGGACGAACTGCTATAAGTAGATATGTAATTATTTGTAATAGGAATTGTCAGGCAAAGGAGAAGCTTTAAATACCCTATCATACCGACCCAGGTCTTAAATTATAATATTGTATATAATTTTATCAGTCAAGTTTCAAACAATTTAAACCATCAAACAAATAGTGATACGCACAAGGACGCCTTTGCCCGAGATATTAAGATAATATAAGTTTGATATGAGCCGATAACTCCGTTTTTACTTTTTTAAGGAACCAAAATGTTGGTACGACGCAAGGCTGCGTGACCTCGGTGTGACCTTCGTGTACTGTGTTTTAACAATGTTACCCTGGTTAATATCTATATCACTATAATTTAGTAAATGATCCTATTCAACTCTCATGTCAACTTCAAATTTTAATTACGTAACACTTAACGAGCATTGTAACTTCGTTTTTGTTTCGTTTTAAATCTGCACCAGATCACGTCATGTCACGTTGTGTACGTAATTTCACGTGAATGACATGGGAACGATTCAATTATTAAATGTATTGACTATTCATGAAAATATTAACCTGACAATCTAACAAAAAATATGTTTTTTTTTTCTTTAACGATAATGTGTCATAGTAGAAAATAAAATATAAATTTGCCATAGAAGAATTTCCACATGTTTAGATAAGTTACAAAGTATTACAACCTTTAAATACCTTGTAGGACCCTCAAGTTGATATTGAGGACACTTTAAATGTTGAACTTTAAAAATACTTAAATGCAATCGCAAGAGCTCTTAAAACGCTATTAAGTACGTCCGCCAATAGCACGTGCTTTCATGAATTTGACATTTTTTTCTTTATTTTTTTTTTGAAAATTGATACAAAATAATAATGACGTCATTTAAGATTTCTTACATCATTATTTCGACTTAATATTCTTTATAAGTTAAAAGCTTTCAAAGTTTTAATTTTAATAGTTTGTATAAGTATTTAAATTTCTATATGAATTCTTTATGTTAAACAGGAAACCAGCAACAGAAAGATGATCCACTGGTTCCCATGACGCCTGTTGCCGAGGACAAATTAAGTCGGGGAACGTCTTTAAGAAGGTATTATCTTATTTCACGGCGTCTCATGTTTTCATTACTTGACTTTCCACATTCTCGGACGATTTGAATTCAATTCTTGACCTGTTAGAACAGAAAATGATTTGGTCTTTGCCACCAGTATAGAATCAGGCTAGCCTATGATTTTCGTGTACACTCGCCAGGCTCTTTACAGTTGGTAGCTCAATTTTCATATGTTGTTATTGAAATCCCTTAAACTTTGAATGGATTCTTCCATATTTAAAGCAGGGCAAATCCAGCAGGTGGAGTGGATTTGAACACATACTTAATAGAATTGAAAGGTAAATGGGTCAGTAAAATTTCAAAAGTAATTCCGTAATGAATACGGATTTTAGTATAAACTTTAACAATTCAATTACGCTGTATTTGCCATTTGAACAACCTAAACCTTTGTAAATTTCAAATTAAAATTCGCCTAACTCAATATTTCATTGTGAAAGAAGTCTTATTTATAAACGTGACTGTGTATGACTGTGCAAGTCTAAATTAACTTTTCTTATCTTTTTATGTATAATATGATATAATTATATCGGATATTTTTGGTGATTTAAAATGTCGGCTGATTTAATCAGGGTATTAAACATGAATAATGTGACATAATATTCCATATCTGTCGATAACTTTGTATTTCCCGTCTGAAAACAATCTTAATCTGTTTATTATTATTTCCATCATAATATCATCATAATTACAATCACCATCATCATCATCGTCGTCGTCGCCGCCGCTATCATTATTTTTATCATTTAATTTATTATTATCATTATTATTATCATTATTATTATCATCATCATCATCATCATCATCATCATCATCATCATCATCATCATCATCATCATCATCATTATCATTATAATTATTAATATTATTATTATTATAATGATAACTTAACTGACAAGGTTCCTTCAATAAGTAAATCTATTTTTAGGAAACTAAGTTTTTCATATTTTACTATTTGGGGGTTAAAGCTATTGACATATTAAGTCAATTTATACAATGTATCATGATTACTATTTTTTTAGTGTATTGTGACCATGGCCTAAACACCGAGGTAATATATCAAAACACCCTTTTATGTAAAAAAAAGGTGGTGACTTAGAGCTGTATACTTCTATAGATATAAACGAACTAACTTAATTTTTCATTGTTACTAATCGAACAAAATAGAAATAGTATACTGGTTAAGGTGTCTAATTCACAACCCATGTCACTGGTCTTAAGTTCGATCTTTACTGGGGTTACGACCGTGTTGCCAGATATAACACCCTAGTATTACAGTTGGTTTCAGAGAAGTGGGCTCGAGAGTTCTTTAAATAAGCCCCCCTGTTTTTGGTTTTTTTTTGTGTTTCTTTTGTGTTTTTTGTGTGTGTCTTTTTACATTCGGGCTCTAAAATCTATGTTTCAACTAAAAACGAAATTAAAAATAAATTTCGTATTACACATGTGCTTTTCGGCACAAACTTTGCTAAGATCATTAATAAAACGTCATCTCTGTTTTACAAACGCTTTGAGACATTATATGATACTTTTAAATTTGGCATGACAAACAAAAATGAAATTCATCGCTTTTCAAAGGGTGTTTGTTCTAACTGTATAAAAACATAAAGAAAATTCTCGCGTTACAACTACAACACCCAGACCAGTTCGTATCGATCGAGATTTTATTTTGAATTTCAATAAGTATACCTGCACGTGTATAGCTGAATTGAATTTAAAAAAATGTAATTGAGTTACGTAAAATAAGTCATCTGATACGTATTGAAATCTCATTAATAAGCACTTCGGAACTAGGCCTATACATACAAATTGATATGACTGGCCGCGGACGTTGCTAGGACTTGCGATCATTGTTAGGACTGACGATAATTGCTAGGACTGGCGATAATTGCTAGGACTGACGACCATTGCTAGGACTTGCGATAATTGCTAGGACTGACGATCATTGCTAGGACCTGCGATAATTGCTAGGCCTGACGACCATTGCTAGGACTGACGACCATTGCTAGGACTGACGATCATTTCTAGGACTTGCGATAATTGCTAGGACTGACGATCATTGCTATGACTTGCGATAATTGCTAGGACTGACGACCATTGCTAGGATTGACGATCATTGCTAGGACGTGCGATAATTGCTAGGACTGACGATCATTGCTAGGACTTGCGATAATTGCTAGGACTGACGATCATTGCTAGGACGTGCGATAATTGCTAGGACTGACGATCATTGCTAGGACTGAACGACCATTGCTAGGACTTGCGATCATTGCTAGGACTTGCGACAATTGCTAGGACTGACGATCATTGCTAGGACTGACGTACATTGCTAGGGCTGACGTACATTGCTAGGACTGACGACCATTGCTAGGACTGGCGATCATTGCTAGGACTGACGATCATTGCTAGGACTGGCGATAATTGCTAGGACTGACGACCATTGCTAGGACTGGCGATCATTGCTAGGACTGACGATCATTGCTAGGACTGACGATCATTGCTAGGACTGGCGATAATTGCTAGGACTGACGATAATTGCTAGGACTGGCGATCATTGCTAGGACTGGCGATAATTGCAAGGACTGGCTAACTGCCAGTTGGTCTAACTGCTTCCAGTATATCAGGATGTGCACTAGATTCGATTCGGATAATAATAACTGATCAAAAGTCAAATTGCGGTGTTTTCACCTCATTTCTTTTCTCTTTCCCCTAGATTTCTGTATCTTAGTATAGTCGAATCCTCGTAACTTTCTTCACCCATTCTTTTTAACTATTCTTGACATCCCAGGAATGGTTTTTGTCATTTATCTTTCAAAATGTGGGTGTTTAAGTGTTTGGTGTTTATGTAAATTGCGGTTGGTATTTAAATAAAACTGCAAGTGGGCTTTAAGTAACAATGCCACTGGTGTTTAAGTTAAACTGCGGATGGTGTTTAAGTAAACTGCAATTAGGATTTAAGTAAAATGCAACTGGGGTTTAAGTAAAATGCGGCTGGGGTTTAAGTAAAATGCGGCTGGGGTTTCAGTTGAAACGCGATGTGTGTTAAAGTAAAAAGCGGTTTATGTTTAAGTTGTAAAAAAAAATGAGGTTTTGGTTTTGGTAACAATACAGTTTGGGGTAAGTGAAAATGCGATTGTGGTTTAAGTTAAAATTCGGGTTCATGTAACAATGTAGTTGGTTTTTAAGTAACAATGTGGTTGATGTTTAAGTAACAATGCCAATGGGTTTTAAGTAAGTCACAATGCGGTTGGGGTTTAAGTTAAGCAATTGGGATTTAGGTAACAAAGCGACTGTGGGCAACACCATGGTTAAGCTTTAAACAACTACGCCATTAAAAATTAACGTAACACCGGTTGTGATTTTGAAAGTTACACTTTGGTTGTGGTTTTATTTACAACACGGCTGTGGTTTAAACACAACACAACAACGGTCAACACTGTTAATGTCGTAGTTTGATGTTCCAGCTTAAGATAGGATAAGCATAAGTGCCCTTTAATCAGTCCCTTTAGACACGTCAGTGTATCTTTATCACATCATATTTTAGATATTAATTTTCAAAAATACTAAAAAAAAAACATCATTATTTTGAGGTTATGTTGTGCTATAGATAGACTTAAACTAATTTATATCCACTGAGATAAAACATAAATCTATTTGAGCCGCGTCATGACAAAACCAACATAGTGGGTTTGGGACCAGCATGGATCCAGACCAGCCTGCGCATCCGCGCAGTCTGATCAGGATCCATGCTGTTCGCTTACCAACCCTATTACAAGTAGAGAAACTGATAGTGGACAGCATGGATCTTGATCAGACTGGGCGGATGCGCAGGCTGGTCTGGATCCATGCTGGTCGCAAACCCATTATGTTGGTTTTGTCGTGACGCGGCTCATTTATGCAAAAAAAAGATCATTTGAAGTATGTCTCGATCAAGTTTGTACTTCAAAGTTAATCACCGCTGTTTAATCTGATTTAAATCATGTAGTGTGCCAAATATTTTTGTAAAAATGATTAAGATTAAATCATATAAACAAAGCAGCTGGAAATCCGTGAGAAAATAACGAACATAATACTGTATATAGGAGAAAAATGTTGGACAATAATATTTACTTCCTTCTTAATTATGTGAAGCATTATTTTGCTCTACAATCAATTTTTGTTATGTTTTAGTCCCTGCCTAAGGTCACGTGATTAAAGTAGCACAAACATGCAAAGTTTTAAAGTAGCATGCCTCCAGATGAGCGAAAATATTTCAATAAATCAAATTTGTGAAAAAATGTACCAAGACTTTAGGCAAAGTAGTAAAGTAATAATTTACATGTTATGAGCGATTAATAGCAATCTATTTCATTATTTGTATATATATTTCTACTGCGTTACCAACGCAGCAAGGGCATTTTTTTGCATATTTTGACCTCTTTTTGTAATAAACTTGGGATGTAAGTGCCATTGAAAATGTGTAAAATGATTCCTTTTGGTTACTATACAATAATATACATTTAATTTCATTTTCAAAATTTTCATGAAAATAAAAATTAATCTGGAGGCGTGCTGCTTTAAAGACATTTAAGAAATTGCTTAAGAAAATGAACATAGTATTCAGTGATAAAAGCAGTTTCAACTTGCGATAAATTGCACAAAAACTACCAAAATATGCATAAAATTCCTTCCTCCATTAGTACGAATTCATTAATGAAAAAGTAAGTTCAGCCCATTTTTTTGCATTTAATATTACCGACTCGATGATAGGACCACTTTTACCAAGGCCCCAAAGTGCCCTAATAGCGAGACTTAACTGTAGTACATTTCTTAAAATCTTGTTGTTTTTTTTCCTTTATAATTTTGAAACTTCTTTTAACCAATCTGCAGGCGTCCTGCTTTAATATCATTTATCATCAATAAGGTATTATAAATCTATATACATGTACAATTATAGCATACCTCGTCCATATAGCAAACTTTTTATGCTTTCTTTATTTTTTTCCATAGCATGCATTACCTTTCTTGATCACTCACAAAATCGTCTTTCGAGGTCATATATTTAATATTTGATATTTGAAGTATTTTTGGCCACATTATATAAAATAAACTGCCAATAATAACTTAATAAAACATTTTGATATTGTACCAATAATTATGTATTGAATAATGTGCCCCCCGCTCCTCTAAACTCTCTCCCCCTCGTATTAAACTTTATTGCCGCTTAGTTAATTTTGTTTGATATGATGCACAAGGTTGATATGTCTTTATGGAAAACTATCATTATCCAATGCTATATGATTCAACCTTATTAACATATCTTATAGCTAAACATTAAATTTTGATAACATTTGTTTCTACTCCTTTCAGCATTGACAAATCACAAAAGAAAAAACGCAAATCAAATAAACAATCTAAAGGTAAAAACAAAAGCAAAAAGCATCGGAAAGGCAAAAAATCTAAGAAAGGGAAAGGAAAAGCTTTAACTACTCCAGACAATCAGAATTCTGACAGTGATTCGGGTCTAGAAAATGACACTGAAAACGAAGCCGAACAAGATGAAACAGATTCTGATTTAGAAAACGATCAACCAATAATAACCGATAATCGATCACAAATCGAAAATCAAACGGAAGTTAAAAACAGTTCTAACACAAGCGAGAAAAATGAAACCAGTCTGCCACTTACTGAACCAAATGGTGTTAAAAGTGACGAAACGCCGCTTATATCAAATAGAAGTGTAAGGGACATCAAAATACAGTCAGCATCAAAAGATTCAGGAATAGCTGAAAGTGGAATTAATGACCAATCGAATCAGTCAGGTGAAGCAGAGAAAATAGACCAGGGCGAACTAGGCCAAGATATTTTACCGGAAGTGCGGAGTGATTCTCGCATTTAGCATTTCATTCGAAAATCTAGCAAATAATTCGAATTTTATCGTTGTTTATCTCATAAGCCTATCTCATTAGATTATCTCATAAGTCTATCTTATTAGTTTATCTCATAAATTTATCTCATTAGTTTATCTCACCAGTTTATCTCATTTACATATTTCTTTAAAAATTATGTTCATTTTTATTTGTTAACGGAAACGCTAGTCCCATTGTTGTCCAACTTTGCCATTTTGATATTATTCCATTTGTCATGTCTATTCAGTGATAAGCATTTGAGCCGCGTCACGACAAAAGCAACCCAGTGCGTTTGCGACCAGCATGGATCCAGACAAGCGCGTCTGATCAGGATCCATGCTGTTCGCTTTCAGTTTCTCTACTTGTAAAAGGGTTGGAAAGCGAACCTGATGAGACTGCGCGGATGCGCAGGTTGGTCTGAATTCATGCTGGATCCTCCGCGAAGGCTGGTCTGGATCCATGCTGGTCGCAAACGCACTCTGTTGGTTTTGTCGTGACGCGGCTCATATTTTTATTTTATTTTTATTTCATATTTCTTCTTTGTCTATAAGTTTTCCATCCAGTAGGGATTAATCATTTCTTCTGTACGTATGGTCAATGACAGATACTAGTAGATTTACAGGTAGATTTACAGGCTCATTATGCCCCAGAAATGCTTTTATTTTCATTCTCAAAATCTTTTTTTTTCGTGTTCTGTTATAATTTCCAATTCCAGTTTGGAATTTCACACAGTTAATAGTGATTGGAAGTCAAAATACTACTTTGTTTATATTTCGCTACTTTTATTACAAATAATTTCACATTCGGGGCTACTATTTTCCGGTTATAAGCATCTAGCATGCTGTTAAAAAATGACTTTTAACGTTATAGTAAACTTGCGTTTGCCCTTTCATTAGAATGGAATATTTTTCGATATTGGGGTATCATGTGCCTATAATAACCATCTCCTCCCACAATGAACCAGAATAAATAAATAAATTCCATACAGGTGGTAGGACTGGTCAATCTTTATAGTATACCCATTTTTGACATAAGCACATATATTTGAAGTTTCCACGGAACCGATGTGTCGGCTTCCTTGATCACTTTAGACACAAAATAAAAAAAAATATGGTATGACCATTTCGGTCATTCCAAAAAAAATGTGTGCAGAAATAAATGAAATTCTATTCTAAGGCCTTGCGTCATAAAATAAAGCTACAGCAGATGAAAGAAATTTAATGTCGAGATAAAAAATGTATGAAATACCAAAATGAAAGACTGCATTAAGCTGTACGTTGAACTATCTCTTATACATGTAACTTAGCTTCCAATGAACATTAGTAAAAGTGAACGAATAAAATAGGGCGTCTGTGGGTGAGTGGTTAATGCCGCTGACTTCAAACCACTTGCTCCTCGCCGCTGTGGGTTCGAATCTTTCATGTGAGGAAGCTATCTACGTAGCCTACAGAACATCGGTGGTTTTACTCAGGTATCCCTTCGTGCCTGAAATATTGCATTGCAGGGCTCTTGAGGTCTTCCTCCACCAGTAAAGCTGTGACCTAAACTGTGTTGGTGCATTTATTTTAGGGGAAAAGAAAAGAACACAAAAATGCGAAAATGGCATATATACACTACAGCAAAGCTGTATTCCTTATTTTTCGGAGTTTTCGGAATAGTTTTCACTCCTACCATACGTGGCGAACAAGTTATTGCTTTTCCTTAGTTGATGTTTCAACTTCAAGATTTTATACAATAAACTTTCCCTGCATTGAACTTGGAACAGTTCACTCGAATTTTGAAAAATCTCAAAAACAACGTCAAATTCATGAGAGAAAAAAAACGAACTAACAGTAAATACCTTATTGGCAAACCCTATGAGTGTGCAGGCTGGCCTGTCACATGCCGGTGGCAAATGTTTATCAACTTAGGTCCTAGCAAGTTGTTAAACAATTGATCCTTGTAAAAAATGGAAAGACAAAATAGAAGTAAAATATTCGTTGCATATCTTTAAATACAATTAACATTTGCAATTTTATAAGAAAAACCAATGTGTAAGGCCTCATTACATACATTGTTTTTTATACACACTTTAAAGTCATTTAAAATTTCAATCATTTACATGATCATATCTTATTGTTTTTATGTACAGTAATTGTTAAGCGCTCGGGTTACTTTGAATGCATTATGTATAGACTGAATCTCCCTATTGGAGATTACGTTATGTTATTGTATTTTTGTTTATAAAGAATTGTCATTAAGAAATGTATTGAAACTGTGATATTTAATAAATATAATTATTTTCATAACTTAAGTGTTTTGCTGTGTTTTACTTTATCTGTGTTAAAAATATACTTAGTGGTGGCGTGGTCGCGTGGTTAACGCATCGGACTAGTAACCTAAGGATTGCTGACCGCGTGGGTTCAAACCCTGTCAGGGCCAAGCCGTTGTTTCCTTGTGCAAGAAACTTTACATTCATTGTTTAGTACTGGTTGGTTCCAGGAACGGATTCGAGAATGCTTTAGAGCTGCACAATCGAACTAAAATAAATTCTGTATAAACCAAAAATCAGTAAGTTAACTACCTTTTACTTTTAAGGGTGTGTGGTAGCCTAGTGCTTAAGGTGTCTGTCTGATTATTGGTTCGAGCCCTAATCGGGTCACGACCATGTTTCTTCATATAACTCCAGTACTGGTTGGTTCCAGGAAGCGGACACGAAATTGATTAATATAAGTTGCAAGAACTTGTTTTGCAATCGAGCAACCAAATTTATTACTTCAGGATAAATAAATTTTACATATATGATTTACATGTATACGTTCCTGAGCCGCATGGATGTGTATTGAAATCCCATATAAGGGAAGTAACTCTTACTAGTAAAATTGTGTTTAACCTAAGTTAATTCTCATTCTTATTTTGCAATTTGTTTGCCTTATTTATCTGTTTTTCTGTTTTAATATTGAATACAAGAGCATCAATGATCGACCAGCTCTGACACCGTGTTTTGTGTTGTTTGTTTGTTTTTTAGTTTTGTTTTTTTACAATAAAATGCAATGTATATTATTACACTTTTAAAGATTTCAAGTCTAAATATATTTAACGCCTTTTATCTTTCAGAGAAACCTTTATGGTCGCTTACTTTAAATTTCTTGTTCCTGGTTGCTATGGGTTCATTAACTTTCTGGTGCTTATGGACGCTTTACTCGCTACTTTTTAATGCGGTTCGAAAAGCACTCAAACTACCCACGAATTCATTCTTTAAAGTATCTAAGTAAAGTAAAAAAATAATATCACAATGCACATGCTTTTTACATAAAGTTATTGAATACAAATATAACAACTTATTTGATTACTTGATTTTTACAAATCAAAATAAAACTAATTAACACAACATGACATTAACTGCTAATAATAACAGCTCCTTCCATAGGCCAAAATAAAAAGCATTCTATAAGAGACGACGCCGCTCATCGGCGTCGCCAATAATCTATCTATAAGTCTGTTATACGGATGATCTTATGATTGAAAATGAAGTTGAAGAGAAAAGGAACAACGAAATATATGAGAATTTGTTTGATATTTTATACAGTCAAGCAATATCATGTATTTGCTGGTATGACGTCAGCCCACGATTCCTGCACTAACGCTCCTGTAAGGAAAGACGTAAGGTAATACTAGTAATTGAACGCCGTGACATCACATATTTTAGGTTATTAATTTGTTAAATGTAACTAGAGGCTCAGAAGAATCATGAAACTTATATTTTTTAAATATATACATCTGTAACAGTATAGGTTCAAATCGTAACGCAATAAACGTTGAAATATACTGAAAACGCGTAAGCTACCTTATTTTTTAACATTGAAATAAGCCATGGAAATACTTTTAACTAAAACTTGTAATGTTGAGAATATTTTCGTTTCAATACTTCTTTGTATTAACAGGGAAACACAAATATGTTGTAATATATTTTACAAGTATCTTATATAACTAAAAGTATATTTAACTAGTAATGAGCAGGAAATTATTTACAGAATAATCACACGCCGCAGCCGGAACTCGAGCAACGGGTCTCTGGATTGCCGGTCCAGTATGCGGCGTACCGGTTTTTTTTTGTGAGTAATTTCCCGCCCATTACTAGTTTAATATATTTTTTATTGAAATAAATACGTTCCGGGAATTGAAAGACATTGCAGGTTTACAGTTGACAGAACAGGAAGTTATGCCTTTATGGAAAACTAGTATAGTTTCTGGATAGTTTATGTATTCGGATGCACTTACTCTCGTTCACACAGAAATGGGAATAGTCTGTCACAATGCTCATCATTCCATCTCATATCATATCTTGTATAAAATGTGAGACAGTCTTCTTCTCCGTTACTTTGATTGGGCTCTCCCGGAAACCAATCTGTTACTTCAAAACTGAATTTTAGATAATATGTAACAACTTTAAAGGCACATAAAGCTTCAGAAATGAATAAGTTTGTTTCCCACTGAAGGAAAGACAAATAAATCTGTGTTTATTAATGTTTTGATAATGAATTCAAAGCAAGTAAAATGAGCCGTGTCACGACAAAACCAACATAGTGGGTTAGCGACAAGCATGGATCCAGACCAGCCTGCGCATCCGCGCAGTCTGATCAGGATCCATGCTTTTCGATATCAGTTTCTCTTCTTGCTACAGGCGAACAGCATGGATCCTGATCAGACTGCGCGGATGCCGCGGCTGTTCTGGATCCATGCTGGTCGCAAACCCACTATATTGGTTTTGTCGTGACACGGCTCAAATGATTATCACATAAAGTTAACAGCAATGAATGTGTTATAAATGTAGGAAATCACAAACATAATTATAGTGGTATTTTGGTCTTCTATACAAAATACTAAATCACTATAGCTTTAACTACCAAAAGCAAAAGATGATTCACCTTATGGCCAAATAGTACCATTTCGTTAAACTGTAACATAACACCAACAATAAAAATCTTCTGAGAGAAAAATAGAATGATAGCATTTTTTGGCGACTTAACACGCTTTTAAATGAGTAGTTTGTTCCATCAGTTTCAAAGTGAATATCTATATACTGCAATTCAAAATATCAAGTATACGCATACTCGAAATATGTACATACTCAAATATGCAAATTTAACCTACTCCCCATTCAAAAGCTGTTTTTTTCTTCCCATATGTTCTTTACTTAAAATTAATTTTATTAAAAATTTTTGTATACTAAAACCCCATTTCACGGAAAGTTAAGATTTCGTCCCTTTTTAATATTATATACTGAGTTTGTTTGCGATGAAAAACGTATTAAATGAAAGTGGGTAATTTGCTATACAAAACCTGTTTCTTCCCCAAAATTTTGCAAACCATTTAAAATTTCTTTAAAGGGACCATGGACGAAAGAGTTAAAAAAAGTACACCAGTTATTTTTGATGATACAAAAATGTTTTAAGATTTGCTTGCATGCCCTTAGTAAATTATGTTGCCAGTACAGGTGAAACAATATGACTCAATTTGGTTAGCTTCATAATAAGAGCTACTTGAATATTGTTCTTAAGACACACAATTCTCATGTTATTATTTGTTTTCTCTTCAACGTGCATTTGGAATCAAACAAACATTAATTTATTCTCATAAATGTTGTATTATTTTGAAATCTAAGAAAATTGTTGTATACCATATTGAAATCAACTTTATCCTTATAAATACTGAAACACCGAAACCTCATTACCTCTCCCCCGTGCTGTTCCATTTCCAGACCCCCTCCTTGTTCATATCAGATCCGTCCATCCAGAACTGTATTTCGCCAGCTGTAAAAAACAACAGCAATCACAACAACAACAACAACAATTATAAACCAAAAACAAGTAAGCGACACAGCTTCATCTTTGGCATGATGAATAAGTGTTTTTTCTTTACAATGGATACGGACATTTCGTTAAAATAGTCACTTAATATATAAAATATCAGCAAAAATGCAAGAACTTCATGATATTGTCTTCACCCTAAGCCTGCTAAATTTGTGAAATGGATTTCCCCTGCTTTGAATTGGGAACAGTCTATTGAAAATTTTAATTTCATCATCAAAATACAAACTTAGAGCTCCCAAACAGTATAGAGCCTGGTCGGACCGCATGGATATACAGGCTGGCCTGGCTCTATACTGGCGTAAAAACCGAACCACTTTCATTTCTAGCTGGTTTATGTTAATAACCTATATATGTATTTAGTACATGTATGTGGCATGCTAGAGTTAGGGGAAACAATGCAAAAGTAATATTTATATATCAGCAATGGAGTGACAAAGTGCGTAAATAAGCTAAGCAATGTTACATGTACTTAATTAAGCATATAGTTTGACTAAAGACAGAACTTTGAGACTCATTTGGATAAAGCTATAACGGATAATATGAAACATTCATGAGAGTTATCTAAATTCCGTGCCTCAAAGTTATAAAAGTTCAGTCTCAGATCTCAGGATTTTCATTGGTCAGTAGACATCCTGTGGCAGTTTCGGACCAATTGAAATACCTGAAATCTAAATTTGAGCTAACAGAATTTTTTTCATGACCATGGACCAGGATTTCTTCTAAGATTACTTTTTTATGACTCTTTTTAATTTAGACATTGTTGACAATTTTTGTGAATATCTAGTTCTTACTTGCGTGTCTTGTTCCTAAAAGTTGCTTCAAAAACTCATTTTCCTCTTCACTCATCACTATTGGCAGGTGAGTATTGTTCATGTTTTCACAGAATTTCTGAAATAAATGTGACAAAAAAAGACAAAATATTTAGAGTTTTCCGAGGCAAGTATATAAGGATTTACTGTAAAGTTTCTATATGACACCGGAAGTCAACAAGATTGGCCGGAAGTCAACACTGCTGCATGCGCTTATTTATTAAATCATTTCATCCTAAGATTTATAAATATTGATATAAATAAACTATATGTCGAGAAATATTACATTGAGGTAAATACGTATATATACTTCTGTACAATCAAAATACGGTACTTTGAAACACCACCCTGTTTTGTACACGAAAGACGGATTGTATGGCGACTGATTTTTGCCATGTCGTATTTTCGTTCCGCGGAGACCAGGCTAAACGAAAATTCGACATGACACAAATCAGCCACCATAGGATAGCGAATAATTCAGCTTCATGAATACTTTACGAAATTCACGATTGTTACATACTGAATTCACGAATTTATTATTTCAACTAAATGAATGCCCGATTTTTTAAATTCACGAAGTCGAATATGAGAATTTATGAAAATGAAATGAAGAATTCAAAAATTTGAAAGTTCACACGCGCCATTCGTAGTGTTGAGTACATTTTTCAAAAATATACATTCAAAAAATGTGAAAACTGCAGGATAGGCTAGTTTGAAGGCATGTTATGCCTCAGAAATCCATATTTCTTTCTTTAGAAATGTCAAACTTGTGTTTATAATGTTTAGATAATGGATTCAGAGCTTGTTAGATGTTTAACAGCTGGAAAAGTAGCATTGAACACGCAGTTATGTGTAGTAAAGGTAGCTAAATGTGATCAAAGTAGTGTTTGTGGCGCCGTAATATGTCGCAACGCCGCTAAATGTCGCACTTACCGCTAAATGTCGCACCATTGCCGCTAAATGTCGCAACCGCCGCTAAATGTACCAAAATCATTTGCCGCTAATGGTCGCAATGTTAACGTTAAATGTCGCAAGAATTTCCCATACCGTTAAATGCCACAACACTGCCGTTAAATGTCGCAAGATGTAAATTCATGTTAAAATCATGAATAAAAATAGTATTATTTTACTTTTTTACGCTCTCATAGTTTTTTTTTTTTACTGTAATTGCCATTTAACAAAAAGTATCTTTGTTTTAATGAACCTAAATATCGAGGTTTTGAGCTGCTATATACTAGTAATGTAATCTTGACGCTAGAAAGCTTATTCTAGAAAGATACAATTGAAATTCAATTCTCAATAGATAAGTATTTTTCTTTTGTCTCCCTTTTTCATTTATAACCCTGATTGGCAACATCTTAAAGGTATTATGATATTGTCGATATCAGAATTCGTTTTTAGTAATTTCATTGATTTGAAGACCTTTTTTGTTGCTAATGTGAATAATTTGAATCATAGGATAGAACACTTAGCATATTAAGCCCGCCTATAAAGTAAGCACGAATGTCTGATAAAGCGTTATCATCCTGATTGACTATAGTGTAGTGGGATGATCAGTGTCCCTGTGAATGTCAATGTAAATAGTGCATATGCTTAATCCTCCTTATAAATATATACGTATGTATGTCTAAAAATGGAAAATATTTTAAAGTCTTCAGGACATATGAGGGATGATCAAAAATAAACCGGACTGGGGCTGTCAATTGAAGAATTTTCAAACTATCACTTATTGTTATATATCACAATGAATCGGAAAACTATATACCATATCTAATTTGATAACGCAAAATAGCTTGTACGTAACAGCGATTTAAAAAAGCATGACAACGCACACCGGCGCAGTATTAATTTGCGCTGACGTTTAAGCGCTTGAGTTTAAACTCTTTATTTTTACGCTATACGTCACAGTATTTTTGCAATGACCTGTATATTTGGCTCCTCCTCCTAACAAGTCATTTAATAGGTTAAGATCAAACTCTAGGGAATATGCCTATTTGGATATTAAATCTGCATTCATCCTTTGCAGGAACATTAATTGCTTGAATAAATAAACATTTGCCATTTTAAAGGATCGGGTTGCACTATTTTCATTTTCAACGTCAAACAATATTTTCTAAAAATTTTATAGATATCGTTCAAATCGCAGCTAGTAGTTTAAACCTATGACTTTCTGTTATTAGGTTAGGATTTTGATTTTCTTACATTATAACATGTGACGTTTAATTTAAGTATTTACATATTAAGTGATTAAAATCGATGCCGAAAACTAAACCATCCGAATTCCTCAGCATAATTTGCACAAATTCATGGTCTTTAGTGTGAGCATCAGTTTTGAGTTTTCTTACTAAATGCAAAAGAAAAAAAAGAAGAAGAAAATTAGTAATAAAAATAATTATGATATTAATAATAAGAAGAATAACAATGATGATGCAATGGTATGGATGCGATTGCTCAACGGTTTCGTCGTCTCAATGTTAATGTGTTTAGGTTGAGGTTTTGAATTTTAATATAAGTATTTACATATTAAGTGATTGAAATCGATGCCGAAAACTAAACCATCCGAATTCCTCAGCATAAATTTTCACAAAATTCATGGTCTTTAGTGTGAGCATCAGTTTTGAGTTTTCTTACTAAATGCAAAAGAAAAAAAAGAAGAAGAAAATTAGTAATAAAAATAATTATGATATTAATAATAAGAAGAAGAACAATGATGATGCAATGGTATGGATGCGATTGCTCAACGGTTTCGTCGTCTCAATGTTAATGTGTTTAGGTTGAGGTTTTGAATTTTACATTAAAGGTGATCATTGGTAATTAACGACATGCCTAATGGGGAGAATAGCATTTCTTGAGAAATTTTCTTTTCAGAATTCGTACCAAATGGAATTGTTGCATGCATATGTCTGTTAGGAAATAAAAATGATATTATAATTAATACTGCTCAGAAATAAGAATTTTTCAAAATAGACAAAAATATATGGATCCATGAAGAATAAATGAACGTGTAATGAACGACTAACCACAATAGGCATCTAGGCTTCCCTCCGTAATACCATTAAGCATTTCTTCAGATATTTCAACCGGAAGTAGAAAGAGTAGTTAATTATCAATTAGTTCGTCACCTCGGCATAGTACAGAAAATTGGAATTGAGTGATGTGTTAATTTTCGGTTCTGTTAAGTTTTAATATAGCCACCCATTCATTTATAAATGGCTCTCTGCTTTTGCAACAATACGCACGTCACTAACGTTGTTGCATTTGCCTCAATTACCTAATGAAAACTATATAGCCTTGTTTATAATACGGAGCAATTCATTGTGTGACAGAAGCACTATCGAGGTTGAAGAGTACTAGTTGGGGCTAGAGATCCAACGTTAACTTTACGTAGAAAAATTTACAAATTACTACGAAATATTTATACCTTCAGTTTGAAGAAATTCTCTATTTTTTCGTTCACGCGTTACTGACAAATATCCAAGTTCCAATCTTATAACAACTAACTAAAAAGTACATGTTTGGCTACAATGATATATTTATTATTTAACTATAGGCAAAATGTCCGTTGTTTTCTTCAGGGGGGGGGGGGATTACTCTTTCTGACTTAATAATGAAAGGTAAGTGATTTCCCGTTGTTTTCTTCAGGAGAGGTTACTCTATCTGACTTAATAATGAAAGGTTAGAGTGATTTCCCTTTGTTTTCTTCAGGGGAGGTTACTCTATCTGACTTAATACAGAAAGGTTAGAGTGATTTCCCTTTGTTTTCAGGGGAGGTTACTCTATCGGGATTAATAATTTAAGGTTGGAGTGATTTCCCTTTTTTCGACAGGGGAGGTTACTCTTTCTGACTTAATTGAAAAGAGTGATTTCCCTTTGTTTTCTTCAGGGGAGGTTACTCTGTCTGACTTAATGGAAGGTAAGAGTGATTTCCCTTTTTTTCTTTCAGGGGAGATTACTCTAATCTGACTTAATAATGAAAGGTTTAGAGGGTTC